CAGCGATGGTTGTGGGCATGAGTCATTTAAAGCCCTATATCTAGTGGGTGCTCAATAAATATTCAGTGAACCAGTGAATGGATTGCTCAGTGAGTCAGTGTCAGATTCTTGTTCGGTTTCCTTTTAAGATGTAAAAGCCAGGTCTACATTTTTAAGAGAAAGGATAAAATGCTTATGCACACATGAGTCTCCACACCGAGCTAAATAAGAGTACTTACTGGAAGTCAATTACCTGCCCTTCATGCTTTCTCACAGATGAGCAAGAGGGCAACAGGAACAACTCTGTAGACTTTCCTTTTTAGAATTCATTTCTTTTAACAGAAATTAAACATCACATGCTAATCAGTACTTCCACAGCTAGAAAAGCAATCTGAATTTACCACCAGGTCCAGGACTTCAGCAAGAAGAGAGACACTGCCATGGGAATAAGAATGCAATGACTTGAAAGCAAAGCATTAATCCTCTACTGCATATTCCAGAGCTTTGTCTCAGAAATGTGAGTCCTGGGGAAGTGCACACGCTCGCGCGCGCGCGCGCACACACACACACACACACACACACACACACGGACTTGGTTATGTTCAGAGAAGAGTGTGAATGTGCACACACACACACACAAAACTTTGCCTGACTAAATGAAAAATGCAGTCTCTAAATTGTGTAACCATGTTATAGGTAATTCCAAAAATAAACGGTGCTAATGCTGCAACTTGCCACAGTGGAAACTAAAGGCACAGAAAATACCTGGGAAGCCACATTTCTTCCTCTTCCCTTCTGAAAAGTTTTGAGGGTACATATGTGCACATATGTAGACATTACCCTGCCACCCCAACTAGAGACACTAAGCCCCAGGTAAGACCGACTTTGAATTGAGTGAGCAACATGGAATTGACTGGGATTGTCTTTTAATTATTGTTATATTTTTACTTGTTGTGCATGTGTATACGTACTTACCATGATGCACATCCAGTGGGAAGGGCTCTCTCCTTCCACCATGTGGATTCTAGGAACCATGTCTTCATCCTTGCACGACAAATGCTTCATCCAGTGAGCCATCTTGCTGAGCATTCTGTTGCTGTTTGCTTTCTGTTTATGAAACCCTATCTGACCAGGAATTCACTATGTGAACCCAGCTAACCTCTGGAACTGAGACTCGCCCACCTCTGTATCTTAGTGATAGCATTAAAGGCACACACCACAACTGGCTGTCAGTCTTTTCTTATTTTTTATTTCAATGTAAAGAAAGCAGAAAGTATATCAATGTTAACATTAAAAGATTTTATAGATGAGTATGTTGTATGCTAACCATGCGGAGCTGAACTATTTCAGTTGTACAGTTTCATTTTGTTTAACATAGGTTAGCTTTAGTTCTCAACCTGTGGGTTGTGATCCATTGAAGGGCTCAAATATCAGATTATTTATAATTCAGGACAGTTGTAAAATTATAATTACGAAGTAGCAACGAAAATAACTATGGTTGGGGGTCACCATAATATAAGGAACTTGTATTAAAGAGTCGCAGCATCAGGAAAGCTGAGAACTGTTGCTTTAGATGGTTAAATTCCAGCTAATGAACTTGATCAATTAGCTGCAGGTGTATAAAAGAGTAGAGCGGTGTTAAGATTGGTTTGGTCTCAAAATCAAAACATGGTAAATGATCTGCTCAGGTAGACAAGGTGGTTATAGCAAATGTAGAATACCATGTCTGCTTCTCATTGTCCCAGCCCAGTCCAGTAAATCCACAGGAATACATGGCAGGCCACAGACTCCCACAAAAATTCCACTTTACTAGACAGCTGTGCACACCCTGGCCCTAGTGAGTGGCATGACTTACGGTGAGCCTCTGCTGTTCCATGCCTGCATCCTCAACCCACACTCTACACAAGCAAGGTCATCTCAAATTACTACCAAATACTACCAAAAGGCTGAACCCACTCACTGTAATGTCTTGTACCTTACAGCCCAAATCTAATCAACCAGTAACATTATGGCAATGAAAAGGGGATCATTTTCTACTTCTGATGTCTTAAGCCTAACTTCAGGACCTAATTTAAATGTGAAGGATGTGCAGTGTGCTCTGTAAAGATGACAAGCACTGGCTTAATCTGACACACTGAAAATACTTTCTCCATAAAAATTGACTATAAGCCTAGACACAGGAGTGTGGGGGTGGAGTGGTACCTTGGTCCTGCCAAGGAGATGATGGGACAAACTTAGTAGACTTCCTAGGGGCGGCCTTACCCTCTTCAAGGAGCAGATGGGATGTGGGGGATGGGGAAAGAAGGGTAGCTGGAGGAGAGGATGGAGGGGGAACTGGGATTGGAATGTAAAAAAATAAATTAATTAAAAAATGACTACAATAAAATATTTTTAACCAATTTATAAAGAAAGTCCAGATAACCAGTAACAGAGATCAGACTGATACAGCCTATTAGCAGGGAGCTGTAACCATTTGAAATTATATATGCAATAATATAGGAAATAAATTTATATGTAAGGTTATTCCCATAATTATGAAGGCTACTGTCAGTTTTTCATTTCTAAGTTCTGCATCCATAACTTAACATACCAAAATACTTAGAAAAGAACATTCCATCTGTTCTATACATTTTTTTCCTCCCCTCTTGTCATCATTTCCTAAATAGTATTTTCATGGTACTTGCACTGTATTGGAATGGAAGCTAAAGACAATGTAAATCCTACAGGCACACACAGAAGTTACATACAAACATTACATCCTAACATTGTTTTCTATAATGCACTTAACCACCTGGAGGTTTCAGTTACAGGGGTTCTTGGAACAAATCCCAGTGATCCTGAGGACAGACTATGTGCATGATTAAAGAATAGGAAAAAGCAGGTGTGGCAATTGTTATTCCCAAGGAATGGCTTACCTCTGCATTTCCAAATCCTAGCAAAAAGAAAAAAACACTAGACAGACTTCCTAGAGAGGTCTTACCCTCTTCAAGGAACAGATAGGAGGTGGGAGGGACGGAGTGGGGAAGCAGGAGGAGAGGAGGGAAGGGGAACTGAGATTGGAATGTAGAGAATAATTTTTGTTTTTGTTTTTGTTTTTTTTGGTTTTTCAAGACAGGGTTTCACTGTATTGTTTTGAAGGCTGTCCTGGAACTCGCTTAGTAGACCAGGCTGGTCTTGAACTCAGAGATCCTCTTGCCTCTGCCTCTCGAGTGCTGGGATTAAAAGGTGTGTGCCACCAATGTCCAGCGGAATGTAAAAACTAATTAAAAAATACACACTAGAGTGGCCAGAATTCTGGTGAATGGACTACATACATGGTCCTCTCAACAGTGTCAGGTTATTTTTAGTGCTACAAAGTATCATAACTTGGTTTATAAATCCTATATTAGAGACCACTTTTTCCTTAATTTTTTAAAGAGATTTTATTTATTTTTATAAATTTTTGCCTGAATATATGTCCGTGTACCACATGAGTGTAGTGCCTGTGAAGGCCCAATTACAGGCAGCGGTACTTTCATGTGTGTATTGGGAATTGTTACCAGATCCTGTGCAAGAGCAACCAGAAAGCTTAACCCATGAGCCATCTCTTCACCCCCATGCCATCTTTTTTATTGTTTCTTTTCAAAATTTCAACAACAATTATCTAACACTTATAAACAGTTTCTGAGAAATCCAAAGCTACGTTAAGCTCAGAAGAAGACCTTCAGATCCCAATCACAGGATGTCATCCAGGTCACACTGCTTTAGGCAGCAGGGTAGATGAATAATTTCCCTTTGTATGTCTCACAAAGTATGAACTGACGTTAGAAACAAGCTCCTCTTTGGTCGCTTTTCTTTAATTGATGAAGTAAAGTCATCCAAGGGTACCCTGGGCTCATGCTGAGACAGCTTTGCTTGTGGCATCATCATGCCCAAAATGAATGAGCAGGCCTTCCTATGGTCCATCACTGCAGTGTGGAAGCCTACACAGTTTGGATATCAACAATGCTTACATTTAGGGATGAAAATTCAACAGAACTTTAGTGGAATGGGTAAGGAAAGGCTACAGATGGGAGTAGTTGGTCAGTGTGGATGGGATAAAGAGAATTCAGACAAGAAATTCACCAGACATGCCAGGCTCTTGTTGTTAAGACTTATTTCAGTAAAGCATAGGACAGCCAGCAGTCAAACTGGGAAGAAAAGAATAGCCATCTGGTTTGAGACAAGCTACTGTTTCCTAAGCTGCACATAGAGATGTCTCGGGGCCATCACCTCAGGGTTGTCCTTGAGTTGTCCTTGAGGGTGATCCTGAGTTGCCATATGCTCAGAACACTTGAGATTCATGAAAGGAAAATATACCTTCAACTCTGCAACTGGGGGCTCAGGTAGATAAACTAGAAAACAAACAGTAAAGTCAGATAGTCTGGCTTCAAAATCTCTATAGGAACCTCCTTGTAAGCTGCATCTTAATCACAATTATATTAAGCCTGGCCAAGTCAGAATAACCCAGTAACTTCAATCTCACACATCACCATTCAAACAGAAGTTTCCCGGCACCAAAAGCCACCTATGAGGGTTAACACTGTCAGTGTGACAAGGTCAGAATCAGCTAGTATAAAAGCTCTGGGCATGTCTGGGAGGGACTGTCTAAATTAGGTTAAGTGCAGTGGAAAGACCTTTCTTGAATAGGGGTGCCGTGGCATCATTTCACAGGTTGAGGGCTTCACTGGATGCAGGGAGGGAGAGAGAACACTGAGAACCAGCATCCATGATTCTGTTTCCTACCAATGGATGTGTCAGTTGGTTTAAACTCTTACTGACCCACCAGGAAGAGCTGGACCCAGAACCGAAAACCAAAACCTAGAATAATCTTCCATCGTAAGCTGTCAGGTGGGAGAAAAGCAATGAGCAAAGTAAACTAATAAGGCACCTTGGGCTTTATGAAACCACACAAACGCCACAGCTGGAAGACTTTTTCAGAAGTCTTGTTGAGTCTCATTCTTCAATATGGAAATAAGCCATTTTTATAGAAGACACAGATATAAGCACAAATAATTTTAATGATTTATGTTAAATAAGAGTAAAAGTTAAATCCATTAGGAAAAAATAAAAATTATAAGCATTTCTATAGAAGGAAGTACAACCTCAAGTGTTAAAGCTTAACATAAACCAGTTCGGAATGCTGAGTGACGAATAGGGAATTTGACCAGGAGAGCAATGGTTCAACAGACAGTTATGCAGCTATTTCAGAAGTGGATCTATTGCAGTCAGAGACTGAAAGTATCCGCAAATGGAGAGAAGAGCAAAGGGAGCACCTAGAAACACTTGATGCTAATTCTCGGAAGCAAGCAGCAGTGTGGAAAGAAAAACAATAAAGGAGCTAGAAGGATGGCATTCAGACAGGATGAGCAGCTACAAAAGCAAACAACAGGGCAGCAGAAGTCTTTGTAGACAACATTATGAGTCATCCCTAGTCACTGAGTGGGCGTGCGTGGCTCAGCTGTGTGACTTTAACTCCAAGTCCAGCAAACAGGCCAAAGATATATATACTCAGCCCTCACTTCCCTTAAGCAGCACCCCACCCCATCCCCAGCACATTGAAGAGTATCCCTATGGAAACACTATGTATGTCTGCAATATCCTATATCCTAGTCCTACTCGGTGAAGCTGGATATAGATCCTGTCCACTCACAATGAGGACACACAGGATAGACTGGGTAAGCTGCCAGTGTGCCAATGCTCAGGCAATGCTCTCCCTACTTCACTGCCTTGGCTGCTTCCACACCAAGAGGAAGCTTTTCTCACTCACCTCCATATTTACTGTGAGGGCCTATGTGTAAGATACGGTGAAAATGATATGAGTCAATTCATTTCCAACTTTTGCCTATTCACCAACCTAAAACCTTTATAGAGAAATAAAAACCAGTGAGTTCAAGGCCAACCTGGCTAACCTACTAAGACTGTCTCAAAATAAATACAGGGTTAGTAGTGTAGCTCAGTTACCTGACATGTGCAAGGCCCCCACTCCAACCCCTTACCCACCAAAAATAAATAAATGAATAAAAAGGAAGAAAGAAAAGACCAAGATCAAACCTGGGCTAAAGATACAGTTCTATGGCAGGTAACTGCCTAGCATGCAAAAGATCCTGAGTTCCATACCCAGTCTCAAAAATAAAAAGAAGGAAAGGAGAAAGGGAGGGAAAGAAGAAAGAAAAAACAAAGGAATGGGGAGGGGACTGACCCTTACAGAGACTTAATTTAGTAATGCCCAGAAAGATTGACAACACACAGACTGCTTCTGATAGAAAGAAGTGATGTTTGACAATTTTCTAAACTGGCAAGACCTTCTAAGAAATAGTCACACTAAAGGCAGTTACAGAAAATAGAGGTATGCACAAATGCACAGTAGCCAGATAGCAAATATGTACAAAGAAAGCTTGCACACTTGTATACCGATGATTTTGTCACTAACACCCAATGGTTCATATCATGATTTCCTGATGTGTATACATATTTTAAAAATAAATAAACTTGAAGGCCAAGAAAATAAAAGAAACTAAAACACAATGTAAGAAAAAGGTAACTGCATATAGAACTTTTAAACTATAGTGGCACACTTAGACAGAAACTCTATTATCATTATAACAAACGTAGAATAAATCATATGATAATCTGTTTACTAAAAGATGCTTAATTAGTGATTGGCCACTTTTAGATTTAACAAGTAGTTCTGATGCCATCTCACTTATTAATCTTTAATGCTGATAAAACTGAAAGACATGATCAATCAAAAATCACAGGTCACTTGTAAAACAAAAACTCCCTTTCAGTTCCTAGTGTGGAACCCAAGCCTCATGCATGGTTCATGAAGACTCTACCACTGAGTTATAGCCCCAACCTCAAGAGAACTAAAAAATCTTAAAAGCAATTTAGGCATTTAAATGAATTCCTCATCTAGCATCAATTATTTTATTTTGCAATTCAAAGGGGGGAAATATAAATGGCTCTATCTATCCATAAAAATGTGAATGATCAAACAAATCACAATGGCTATGTTCTCATAAACCATGCATGTTCAACTTAAAATGTTCACCGTCTGACACTCAACTGTCAAGTGGAAGCAATTCAAAGGCCATCACACAGCTGATAAGCCAAGTGGAAGGAGCCATCCAGACTTTGCCCTGCCGAACCCTTTCTGGGCGACAATTAAACAGATCTTCATAGACGATGTACTGTGTACAGAAGCGCTGGTCAGAGTCAGGGTCAGCATGGTACGCAACAGTGTTGATGGTCTGAGTCACGTCACTGTCTGGCTTGGGCTTTCTACTGAGTACCTTGCCTCCTGCTGCAGCAATGAGCTTAAGGAGGTCATCCTTTGGATGATGCTTGAAGGTTCCCCCCAAAAAGAAGTGACATCCATCAAATAGCTTTGGCAACTGAAATAGCAAGAAAACAATTGTTAAAAGTAGATCAAATATTTTAAAACACTGTATATGAATGTAAGACACAAAACCTATAGTCATGAGTCAGTAAGAAGCATCCTAATGAGCTACTGGCATAAACTGTATTTCAATCAACAAACTGGATCAGGAAAGTATACTTAAGAAAATATGTTTCCTTTTTTACTTCATGATTATTTATTCTTATTTTATGGACATTGGTGTTTTGCCAGCATGTACATCTGTATAAGGGTTTCCGATTTCTTGGAACTGGAGTTACAGACAGTTGTGAACTGTCATGTAGGTGCCAGGAATTGAGCCCAGGTTCTCTGGAAGAACAGCCAGTGCTCTGAACTGTTGAGATATCTCTTCAGCCATGAAAATAAGTGTTTCTTATTTATGATTTTTTTCATCTAATATTCAGCCACTGCCTGATTCCTTTTAATTCTCCTAAAACTTCAGATGTGCTTTGTAGTAAAAAAAAAAAAACCAAAAACAAAAACGCTGTAGCAAGGCATGGCAGTATACACCTAGCATTAAGGCTAGCCAAGAAAGAGTACAGCAAGTTCGAGGTCAGTCTGTACTATATAGTGAGACCCTGTCCAAAAATTAAAAACAAAATAAAACGAATCATACAACTCTTCATCAGGATGCTTGTACCCATGGGTAGGATCTAAATCTCCCAAAATCCAAGACATCCAAAGCAAGCATTAGTGATGTCAGGATGCATTTAAACTGTCCCACAGACAGTTCAGTTCTGTTCCTCTACATTCAGGTCCCTACATACTACCGAAGCTCTCCTGGGCAGCCATGGTAGGAGTGTGTCCTCAGGATTCCAAAGCTGCGTTGTCAGTATACGACAGATTATGAAAAGTCATAGCTACAGATCCAATTAGAAAATGTCTGTCATTTCTACCATATACACCCACACACAAAATGGAATATTGTCCATTAAAACTGCAATATGTGGCAATAAAGACATATGGTAACTAAATCCGAGCAACAGCTGTAAGTCTTCTTTCAAGATCCTTCCTGTATCTGAGATTTACCTCCGATTCTGAACACTTTATGGGCATGTTCAAGATGCCAAAAATCCATTAACAGTGTGAAATTATTACCTTCTGGATTTTACTGCACACCGTGATCATCTTTCAGAATCAAGTGCTTGAAATAAGCACAATTAAAATTTTAATCAGTCACCTGTACTGGCTGAAAGGGCAAAGATTTCCCGATGGTGATAATGACGTGAAGCCATAAGAACAAGCAAGTAGTATGTAAAGGAAAATACCAGCTGCTCTCTGTTGAGCCTGCTCTTCTGCGGACCTCCAGGGACTTCGTACTTTTCTTCCTGTTCACGAACTTTGCTGTGCAGACAGGCTTTCACCCCTGACAAGAAATGAGGGCTAATCAAACAAATACCAAGTAAGCATTTGTGATCTAAGTTGTCTGTTCTTCATGGTTGCCCTAAATGTCCTAAATATTCTGAAACCTTAAAACTCCAATTATCCCAAAAGAAAACAGTAAGGCTAGGGCTAGAGAGGTGATGAACACTGTGCTGCGCAAGCCTTAGGAACTGTGTCTGGATCCCCAGCAGGTGTGGCAGCATGCACCTGTAATCCCCAGTACTAGGGTTGTGGAGAGCAAGCAGATCCCCAAGAAGCCATGGGTCAGTGAGCCTAGGCAAAATGGTAAGCTCCAGGTTCCAGGAGGGACCCTGACTCAAAAAATATGGTGGAGGATGACAGACGAGACCCAAAAGTTGCCTCTGACATCTACATTTGCACACATACCACATAGGAAAAAAAGAAAATGTTAAAGTTAGCTTTCTAGAAATGCTTTAAAAATGTAAGAAATCCTTCCTTCCTATGGAAAATTTTAGGCAATTAAGTGTAGCATAAGTTCTAATAGGTCTTAATAATAAAAACCTAAAGTCAGATATTAGGGTAAATGCCAAAAGGTCAGAGAAGTAAAGGAGCCAGCCACAAGAGAGACCTCTTACTTCTACTGAATCTTCAGACCAAAGGGATGATCCTGTCCCTACAAATCCTCAAGCTGAATGCAATGATCTCCTGTCTCCTTATATTTCTCTGTCCAGCCAGTCATATCACTCCTGTCTCCACCTTCCTAATGCTGGAATTAAAGGTTTGAGCCACCACTGCCTGATAGTGTTTCTGTTTTAAACTGGATCAATCTTGTGTAGCCCAGGGTGGCCTTGAACTCAGAGATCTGCATGCCTATGCCACCTGAGTGCTGGGATTAAAGGCATGTGCCCCACTGCCTGGCCTCTATGGCTAACTAGTGTGGCTAGCTGTGCACTCTGATCTTGAGGAAAGCTTTATTTGTTAGATCACAAACAGAATATCACCACAAGTAAGTTTGGTACACAGTCTGAACTGAGCATTTAACACCTGTGCTCATTTTGCCAGTTGCATAAGTGGTCTCCTGTTAGTCTCCAGTGCTGCAATGTTAGGGAAGTGCCTTTGTGCAGAGCTCCTTCCTCAGCAAGCCACACAACAGGGGCTCAGCAGGACCCGTTAAAATAAATACTGAGCAGAGCCCATGACATGCCTGGGCGTTGACACCATTCCTGCAGAGAAGTGTGCTTGATATTCTCTGGAGAAAGAATTCTTCCTATGAACTGGCAAGGGTGCTTACAGTTTCAGCTTAAAAAGCATGAGCTATGGCCGCGTAGCAGGTAGGAAAGTCCTAAGCTGACTGCATCTTAAAAATAGCATGACCAAGACCAATAATATAGGAGAATACAACATCTTAGGACAGGGTGTGTGTGGTGCGTGTGTGTGTGTGTGTGTGCGTGTGCGTGTCTATGAGTTTTAATGTGTACAACTAAATTTGGAATTTAAGTCAAGTGACTTAGTGCTTTGGTATAATTACATAAACTTATAAGGCTTAGTTCTGTTGCCTATGGAAAGAAATAAAAACAAAACTAACAATACCACCTGTCTCATTTTCTATGCATAAAATACAAGAAATGGAGTAATCCAGACCCAGAAAGACAAACTATCACATGTTCTCTCTTGTCAGCCTAGCCTCAACTTCTCAGATCTGAGTACAAAACATGTAGTAACCACAGACACCAGAAAAGCATGAAGCGCCTTCAAGCAGGGGAGGCCCTTAGTAAAGAGTAGCAGGGTATAAGTGATATGAAGTGGGAAATGGAATAACTAGGAAAGGGCTCCAACTGGTGAGGAGAGAGGGAGGTTAAAACAGATGGAGAATGCGGGATGAGGGACAAATAAAAATATTGCTAATGTTGATTGATTAAACTTCAAGGAATCATATTAGTTTGTATATACCTAAAACTATACATAATACATACATGTACGTGTATACATATATACTTGTATACACATATGACGGAGTTAAGCCATTTTGGCTGACAGTGTTCTTCCCAAAACCACAAAACAAAACAAACAAACAAAAAAAAAACCCACTACCAGACACAAGAAACCTCATTTTGAAGACTTGAGATCAGTATTGTCCAAATGACTTCCAAAGCAATGGAGATCATCAATGAAGCCCCTGGTTGTCTCTCAGGGGTTGGGCCCCCACAGCTGAACAACACTGCACACTTGGGATGACTCAAGCTGAATGTGACCTGAAAGCGTCTTCCCCTCAGTATAGCTTTCATGGTTCCCGAAAATGCTTGAGACATAAGCAATTCAACAGTCCTACCCAGCTATACCACCTATGAACCATGACAACTACCAGCATGACAAGGTATGCATAAAGGTGTCAATCAACAGCTGTCTGGTTGGACTTATGGCCCATTCACCAGGAAGGAAATTGTGCCTGGTACTGGAAACCTAGCTAGTTCTGGGGCTAGTGAGGTCATGGACCTTAGAAAAGAATCTTCTACTGCCACTTTGGTAGACTTACTTCATTCTAAATCCTATCCTTATACCCACAGGTAAGTGTAACTACTATTCCTCATTTTGTGATGGAGACCATCACAGAAAAGCATAGCTGGATACAATGCAGAGATCAAAAGATCATAGGGAGGAGTTCCTGCATTTATGGCACAGGGAATATCACAGAAGAAGAGCCAGAATGCCAATAAGTATGCTGTGAAACAGTTTCTCCTGGAAATAGACAGGAACAATAGTTCTATCATGAACACATTAACATGGAAGAGGGAACATTTTGTGAGGGAGTTCTCACCCTACACAAAAAACTACAGGCGACTATTGTCTACCGGGAGGAGAATCAGCCTATCCTAGGGATGAGCCTCCTGACCAGTACAGAGTGATCAGCTTGAAACCACAAACACACCAACAACAAAGGCAGACACAGCTCTGTGTGTGTATTTATTTAAATATAAAAGCAAATGAGATGATCAACTTGAAAGTGGGGGGGGGCATTAGAGAGATTTTGCAGACGGTGACTAGGAGGAGCTGGAGGAAGGAGAGGGAAGGAAGAACTGATATACTTATACTCTGATGAAAGACATTAAAAATAATAAACTTAAAAATACAAGGTCTATCAAAAGCCTGAAAAAAAGATCTCAAAATGGATCTTATAGTAAACTATCTTCATTATACGAACAAAATCTCCAGACAATTTTCTATTGACCTTTGAGATTATTTCACTCAATGACCTCAGTTTCATCACTGAGAAAACAACAGGAAAGTAGAACAATTAAATAATAATAATAATGAAATAGAGTTACAGTTCAAATTCTTAGCTATTTCAAAGTAGTTTTGGATATCAAAATTCAATATCCTCAACCACTGCTATCTACAATTTACCCGGAAGAAATATCTATCTATATAAGCATACACTGAAAATTAGACACATGCTAGCATCCTAATAGGGGAAAACTGCCAGTGACTGAACTCCAAAGAAGGGTGACACCTGGACTCTGCAGAGGTACATAAAAGGCTCATTTCTAAGTAGGACTGGTCCAGAACCAAGTGTCAATCTGCTGCTAGCACCAGAACCATCCCATATTGTGCTTGAAATAAACAGAATTATGTGAGGATGAAAAAAGAAAGACCATGTTGACAGACCAAAGGTGACATGTAAGACAATGCGTACTTCCCAAGAGTAACAGTTCACTTTATGCTGACCTAGGCTATTTTTAAGCTTTCTTTTCTCTTACCCCAAACTAGAATAATATAAAATGTCTATGAGTCAACCTACAAACATGGAGCAAAGGACAAAAACTGAAGCTCATGACATCTTTTACAAAATAAATAAATAAATTTAGTCTGTGCTTTGATTTGCCAAGATCACTGATAAAAAAGGAAAGCAGAAGCTACCCACTTACTGACACAGCCTTCCCCTTTAGGGCCTTCTGCAGCTTTATTATTAAGTACCTACTATTTACAAGTTGAACTAGTCATCTTTCTATAAAAAAGTTCTGTACTCTTTTTTGCTGCAAACCTTACCTTGGACTTTCATTAAAACTGGAAGGCTTTAAGGGAGTACTCAAAATGAATGTAAGATCACAGCTCTACTGTCCTCTGTCAATAAATAATTCATTATAAAACATCACAGGTACACATGTGTTAAATATAAAGGATGTCAATAGGATGACAGGCAGCTCAAGTCAAGGCACATATGACCAGCCGAAGTGCAGGCTCTACTCTTGTTCAGAAACTCACAGGGCTCAACAAAATTTGCATTTCTGTTACAAAGCCAATTCTGGAACTAGGGTCAAGGATACAGTCGGACAACCAGATCCTCGCTTTTGAGATTCACCTTTTCCCCCTCTCCAATCTAATTAGAAACCTTCAGAAGAATAGGTTACATCAGATTGACAGAGAGGTAATTTAAAAGAAAAAAAATGCCATTACATTTCACATTTAGTTCAGATATACTAAAAGCAAAAGTAATTGGATTTTTTTAGTAAAAATGTTTGAATGCATACTCATTTCTAAAACACAATTCTAGACCAATTTACCTCCTTTTTTAAAATTGTTGCTGAAATATTCTAGAAGTATTAGTGATTTGGCAGTGGTAGGGAACTGAAATGCAAAATTTGTAGTGAGGTAGGAAATTGTGCACAGCTAGAGTTTTAATTCTTTCATCTCTGGTACTAAATAAAAAATGAAATATTAAATGTTAAGAGGAAAATTAGAATATCATTAAGGAAATGTGGAAAAATCAAAAGGTTTCATTACTTCCTTGGGTATAGACGAGTAGACTGAATAGTAGGTATTTGCTTATGTGCTGTTTTAGTCTTAACACCTGTAAATCTTTTTCAACACATCTCTTCTCATCTATTTTCATTAGTGGAAAGCCACACAGAAACATTCCTTTATGAAATCTACAGATGCTATGTAATCTGATATCCATCCCAGGAACAGATGCATTGTTACAACCCAAATGCATAAACATTGTCTAATACTCCAAAAATATTAATT